CTGCATTTGGGGGCTGTGGAGGTGGTTCCTCAGGAAATGGAAGGAAGAGGATTCTACTCCTGATACTTGCTAATCCCAAAGGCCAAAGGAGGCCTCAGACCCATCCTGGACCTGCATGGCCTCAACAAGTCTCTCAAGAAGTTGAAGTTCTGCATGGTCTCCCTGGCCTCCATTATCCCCTCTCTGGATCTGGGAGACTGGTATGCCACTCTCAATTTAAAGGATACTTACTTCCATGTTTCCATATTCCCAGGACACAGATGTTTCCTGCGTTCCATAGTGGCCGGGCGCTACTTCCAGTTCACAGTGCTACCCTTTGACCTGTCCTCGGCTCCCAGGGTGTTCATGAAATGCATGATGCTGGTAGCAGCTTACCTCAGACGTTCAGGGGTCCAGATCTTTCCATCCCTTGACGAATGGCTCATCAAGGGCAGGTCTCCGGAGCAGGTGCAAAGAAGCCTCGATCTGGTGCGTTCCACCTGCAGCAACCTGGGCCTGTTAATAAACATAGAAAGGTCCATGTTAACGCTGGTCCAGCGCTTAGAGTTTATCGGAGTGGTTCTCGACACCACGCGAGCCAGGGCCTTCCTTCTGGAAGCACGCTTTCAGGCCGTGTCAGATCTCATTGCCCACATAAGGAAGCACCCGATCACCATGGCCCAAACATACCTGTGGCTGATGGGCCATGTGACAGCATGCATGTACATGGTCAGTCATGCCCGGCTTCATCTGCAACCCCCGCAGACGTGGCTGGCAATGGTTTACGTTCCCAGCAGGCACCCCCTGGACCGAGTGGTCACGGTACAGAACCATGTCCTCTTGTCCATGGACTGGTGGTTAGCCCCCACGTCAGTGCTGCAGGGAGTTCCCTTTGTGTCCCCATCACCATTGCTCACCCTAGTCTTGGAAGTGTCAGATCTGGGCTGGTGGGCCCACCTGGGCGAGCTCAACACCCAGGGCTACTGGCTGCAGCACAGTATAGCCCTTCATATCAATGTCAGGGAGCTCAAGGTGGTGCTCCTGGCCTGTCAGACATTCTTGCCCCACCTGAGAGGCAAGGTGGTGCAGGTCCTCACGGACAATATGGCCGCAATGTATTACATCAACAGGCAGGGCGGCACCAGGCCTTCGGCCCTGTGTTGGGAGCCGCTCAACCTCTGGAACTTTTGCGTGCGGTATGCCATCCATCTGGTGGCCGCCCACCTACCTCCATGGTCGGGAATGCTGATGTATGCCTTTCCGCCAGTGCCGGTTATCCACAGGGTCCTGCTAAAGGTAAAACAAGAAAAAGCATCTGTCATCCTCATAGCCCTGGCCTCGCCAGCACTGGTTCGGCATGCTGCTGAGTCTTTCGGTGACCGACCTGCTGCAGTTACCTCTCTGGCCGGATCTGCTGTCCCAGAACCACAGCAATCTGCTGTACCCAAACCTGGCATTGCTGCACCTGACGGCGTGGCTGCTGCATGGCTAAGTACGGATGAGCGGGAGGGCCGCCACGTGGTCGTCCATTCATACATTCGCGTCACACTATGTGCTGACCCAGCAGCCTCAAGATGACGCTGGCTTTGGCAGAATAGTGCTACAAGCTGCACGATGGTGAACTCTGAGCCCGCCTTCATTGATCATGCTTGCAAGTCACCTAGAATGGAATCGACATGAGCATGCACTCGAAGAAGAAAAACGATTACCTACCTTTCGTAACTGTTGTTCTTCCCGCCCTCCTGCCCTCCTGCCTCTCCGTCGGAGTTGTCGGCAAGAAGGAACTGAGAGGTTGTGGGCTGGCAGCGCCTGATATACCACAGCATGAGCATGGCACTCTAGACGGTGCCACAGCCGGCCCTACGGGTACCACTAAGACAAAAATCTCCGACAGCCATGCACGTGGGCACGCACACACCTAGAATGGACTGGACATGAGCAACACATCTCAAAGAACAACAGTTACAAAAGGTAGGTAACTGGGTTTTTTTTGTCGCAGTTATAGCCTTTCCACAGTTCATTATGTCTGCACACTTACCAACGACAATTTAAACCCCAGTCAGAAATTCATTATGATTTCAATTAATTCAGTAAAACATCACAAATCACAAGGGTCTTTATAGTGAAGCTCTAATTATAGTGATTAATAAGCTCTAACTCACTGGAAATCAGAGATTTGGAGGTCAAATGACTGATAAAAAGAGATCTCTAACTTCCTGCTGTACATCCTTCCCTTTCTCTGTGTCCTTTTGATCATGCAGTCTTTAAGTATCTATGCTTACTCCTACAATGTACAGTTACAATTTTACTGTGAGTGAGTAATGCTTCAAATCTCTGTATAGTTAACTAATACTTCATTGTATTGCATCCTATTAATCCAACTAATACACTTGTTAACTTTGCTCTTATTACTGTACATTCAGGATTTCATCCAAAAAAAATTAATAAATTCTTTGTACTAGTCACTTCCACTTGTGTAACTTAACATTAATTTTAAGTGGTGCAGCAAGGAGAGTCATTGACCCTTAAGGGCCATCATTTGTTCATGAGCAGTCCAAATGCAGGACTTGCTGCATTCTGTTCCACTGCTTAAGTTCAGCAGACTAATAACAAATATATTAAGTCATTTTTAAAGATTTAATTCCTTCATACAAAACAAATTAAGTGACATCTCAGCCAGGAACACACAAGGCCTGATTAAAGCTGTTGCTGGCTGAAACATTGACCTTTGATTTGTTTTGTTTGCAAGGAAGTAAATCATTAAAAACAACTTCTATCTGCTATTATTTTGATGAACTGAAACTGTGGAACACACCAAGTCCAGAAAAACACATGCACTTAATTTCTTACTGTTTTACCATCAAGGTCAAATACCAAATCTGTTCAAATGTCTACTGTATTTCTTTTCTCTAATTTGTGCCTCGTATATTGAGTCTATATATTCCTTATTACAATATCATGAAAATTGCACATAAATATCCCATTGATTTATCATCACTTGACTCAGTAGAAACTGTGTTGATATGATATATTTCTTTCCCTTCCCTTTTTGTGTGCACTAGAGCAGGAGTGGCCAAAATATGGCCTATGGGACAAATGCAGCCCACAGAGTTCTGCAATGCATCATATTGCTACACTCAGTCTAATAGGGAGGCATGTCCCATTGAGAACACAAGTCAAATTCCAGTGCAGCTCCCATTTGGGCACAGCTTGTAGATACTTGCTGTACTGAATGCTAATTCGTATTCAGCTCCCCTTAACATTTCATTGAACTATTTTTTTCTCTTTATAATATAACTCCTGTTAGCCTATTTATATTTATATTGTGTCCCTTCTACCCTGTTTCATGTGTTACAACCACTACAACAGTGGTGGGCACTTTTTGGCCTGAGGGCTACATTGGGGAATAGAAATTGTATGGTGGGCCATGAATGCTCACAAAATTGGGATTGGGGTGCGGGAGGGGGTAGGGCTCTGGTTGGGGGTGCGGGCTCTGGGGTGGGGTTGGGGTTGAGGAGTTTGGGGTGTAAGAGGGTGCTCTGGGCTGGGACCGAGGGATTCAGAGGGCAGGAGGGGGATCAGAGCTGGGGCAGGGGTGCGGGAAGGGGATGAGAGATTCGGGGTGCAGGAGGGTGCTCTATGCTGGGATCGAGGGGTTTGGAGAGTGGGAGGGGGATCAGAGCTTGGGCAGGGGGTTGGGGTGTGGGGAGAGGCTCAGGCAGGGCCGCCCAGAGGATTCAGGGGGCCTGGGGCAAAGTGGGGGAGTTTGTACTCACCGGGCGGCGCTCCGAGTCTGCGCCGGCGGTGGCATTTCGGTGGCGGGGGGCCCTTCAGTCACTCCGCGTCTTCGGCAGCACTGAAGGGCCCCCCGCCGCTGAAATGCCACCGCCGCAGACTCGGAGCGCTGCCAGGTGAGGAAAGGGATTCTTGGCCAGGGCTCGCGGGGCCCCTGCGGGGCCTGGGGCAAATTGCCCCACTTTCCCCCCCCTCTGGGCGGCCCTGGGCTCAGGGGGTGCAGGCTCCGAGCGGCGCTTACCTCAAGCAGCTCCCGGAAGCAGTGCCATGCGGCTGCTTCTGGGAGCTGCGCGGTGCGGCCCCCGACCCGGCACCCCAGCTGAAGCGCCGGAGCAGGGCCAAGTCACATGGTGCAGCCCCCGACCTGGGGTCATGGTGGGAGCTCATGGTTCCAGCTTAAAACGGCTCACGGGCCGTAGTTTGCCCACCCCTGCTGGTATTAGGGTCTGCTTTAAGTCTTAGAGAGAGAGAGAGAGAGATTAAGTTTTCTGTGGTTCTAGTCGTTTAATAGTTTGGCCTGATCCCATGTGACTTTAGGCAAGTCATTCAGTCTCTGTGGGCCTTAGATCCCCATCATCAAATGTAGATGATAGTCCTTCTATCTCATTGAGTGTTGTGAGGATTAATTAAAGATTGTGAGGCGCTCAGATACTATGGCAGAGGGGAACATAAAAGTGTGATCGGTTTGATAGAAAGAAAACTGTTAGACTCTTGATCAGGCATAACCACCCAAGAACATTTAATTTTATTTTCATCTATTTTAGAGAGAGACCATGTTTTGAAACCCAGTAATGCTTGGTGTAATCTTTCTGCATGGTCTTTTATTTCATTCTTGTACATCAACATTTTCTTCAGGGGTGCTGGAACAATTTGTATAGTAGGGGCGCTGAGAGCTGTTCAACCAAACTGTAAACTCTGTATATGATGTAAACCACTTCAAGTCAGTGGGTACGGCAGCACCCCCAGCATCCCCACTTACAGCACCTATGATTTTCTTTGTCGTTGAATGTAAACATTACAACAGATGAAAAGAGAATATGGTCTCCTTTGTTTTTCAAAGAAAGCATCAGCTTCTGAATTATTTTCCAAATATGATTCACTCTCCAAATGGACATTCAGTGTCATTCAGGAGAGAAGAAGTTTCTTCCCAACATTCTTGATTGAGTTTTCACATTGATTGATTAATATAGAACAACAATCTTCTCTATGCTTCTTATTTTGAATAGGGAGATCAAGGTATTCCAGGGGACAGAGGTCCGCAAGGTGAAAGAGGAAAACCTGGAGAAAACGGGGTTATAGGACCTGCTGGACCACCAGGAGACAGGGGCTATCCAGGATCACCAGGTCATCAGGGTTCCCCAGGTTCCCCAGGTCTTCCGGTAAGAAAATAAAGTGCTCTGGTTGGTTGCTGGGGGAACCTAGAGAAGTAAACACTGTGCGTTCTGGGGAGCAGAAATGAATCCATATTTATCCAGTACAACTCATCACAAATACTAAAGTTACTTTGAGCTGTGTAATTGTTCAGTTATCAAATGAAAAAAAATCAGTGCAAGCAATCAAGCCATCATTTTTAATTTTCTTTTTTTTTTGTTAGTGTTCTATACCTGAACTGTGGTAGTCTCTGCTAGACTGAAAATAGCTTAAGTTCAATTAATTAAATTTTGCTTTTGACAAATTGGATAGATGATTACTCAATACAATTAGTTTTATAAGTGAAGCTTCATAAAATAAAGACCTAAAATATAAGTGAAAGTATGTAAGAAAGAAACACATCCCAACCCTCTCCCCAGAAATTAGTACCTAAAAATAACACTCAATACTTTCTAACACTGCATTTCTTCATTCACACGCCTTCTGTTTTTTCCCACACACACACCTTTGTGCTCTGAATATTTATTAACTTGGAAGACACAATCATTCAGATAATGGATATTTCACCCTGCTGTGGTTTGAGTTATTCATCGTATCAGCATTGATGATGCTATTTTTGTTATTATTATTTATTTTTTGTATTAAAGTAGCTAGTCCCCAACCAAGATTAGCGCCTCATTGTGCTACCTGCTACACAAACATAGAACAAGAGACAATCCCTCCCCCCAAAGAGTTGACAATCTAAGTAGACAAGCAACATACAAAGGGTGAGAATGATAAAACAACATTATTGGACATCTTTAGAAAGTTTTTCACAGATCTGATAGTGACAAATTTGTGCTAAAACATATGACACAAAAACATGCTTATTTTAATGATATAATCTGAAAATGTTGCTGCTTATATTTCATGGTATCAGTAATTGTTCATAATATTATAGTGTACCTGCAATAAACAGCCTTTGCAGCTAATTAAACACCTTAACTTCTCTCAGTGTTTAATCTCCAGCAAAAGCTTTATGTGCTTTCCTTTGTATACTCAATGCAACTACACTATCCCTTGATTAAATTTATCTATTCAGCAGCATCAGACATGTTGCTTTCAGAATGTTCTGTTTCCACATTTGTAGATTACTGATGTGTGTCCCCTGTTGGTTTTTCCATCAGGCTGACACAATTTCATTTGAAGAAATGAAAAAATACATCAAACAAGAGGTTCTTAGGGTTTTTGAAGGTAAGGAAATGAAATGTTGTACAACTAAATGTAAATCTTATCTTCTGTTCTAGATGTTTACTTCCGTATAGTCTTTGTGTACCTTTTCTAAACAATTGTGCAAGAACATCCTTTCTGCTTGATTGACTATTTACACTTAGGTATAATAAAAGTGAAAATCTAATACAATCATATTCAAACAAATAACTGTTACTGCATATTCAAAAATCTGTTAACCAGAACATGTAATACAGCTTAACATTAAAAAACAAAGATTGTTCAAAATGTTAATAGTAATAGCAAAAGTAAAAAAAAAAAAAAAGAATAGAAATTAAAATTAGAAAAATAATAAATAATAGTTGGAATGTGAAGGGCCTGATCCCATAGAGGTAAAATTCCCATTGTCTTCTTGCATTAACTGGACAACGTTTAGGACTGTGCAATTTTATTTCCAACTAATTCAGAAGCTCCCCATTAACTGTGTATTGATTTAAAAGAAAACAGTTCATATACGTTGTTAATGAAGCCACAGCTTCTCTTAAATTACATTAACTGCCATTAGCTTTAAATCAAAAGCAGCTTCAAAAACAAGGTAGCATTTATTAAATTTAATTTTTTCCCTTGTGTCTTAGATGGTAAAGGTATAGCTATTAAATGAAGGTTGTTAGTAATTATGAGTGGCTTTTAAATGAAGATATATGGTATTTACATTTTTATTCTTATTCTGCTATGCTCTGATATGTAAACTGTGTTCTGTGTTTCCAGATTCTTACATACTGCTGATTTCTCAGTTTCCCATTGCTTGTACTTTTTGCCTTATATTCCTTATTTTTCTCACAAAAATTTTAATTGTGTTAGGGTTATGTAACTTCCTTTACATCTCATTGGAAGACTTTCAATTATGTGCTTTGATTGGTTCATCAAGTTCATTAAGGCACAATTCCAGTCATTCTGTATTTATTGTAGCCCTTTTTCTTAAGTAGTGAACCATTGTCCTGCTTGTTTGTTCACTGTTAAAGACGGGTGAACTCATTTGGATAAAATAAAAATATATAATTACCCCAAAGATTAACCCAAAATGCAAATATAGGCCAAACTGCAGCTGGGTTGAGGTTCACTTTAAAAAAAACAAAACTATTTTTCATGTTATACTCATCTATCCTTATTGTTTCTAGTCAGGGCTGGAAGCAGAAGCACCAAATAGCATGAATAGCTGTAGCATTTCTGACCTAGCCCAAAGCAGGTAGGAAGGAACTCAGAATGCTAGGATTTTACATCAGTTTTGGGCAGTAGCGGCATAACTCTGAGGTCAATGAGCATGGCCAAAGCTGCATTCAGATTTTTCCGTGTCACTGTTCAGACTCTGGAGCAGATCGGGACATGGCTACGTTCTCTTTTCCCTCCCTCAGACTGCATTGCCCATCCCAGAGTGGTCAGCATCTCTCTCTCTCTCTGGCCTTATCTACACCGCAGTTTTGTCACCAAAAGGCAGATTTTAGCGACAGAAAAATGCAGGTGTACACACTGCAATGCCACTTTTGGCAACAAAACTCTTCAGTTTCAGCAACAAAACCACCTTGACTAGAGGCATAAAGCTTTTTGCGCCAAACTTAAAGCGACAAAGCATCAGTGTAGACATTTGTGTAGAGCAAATCATTAATGTGGAATGCTTCTCTCTTCCGCACTGCGAACACAGAGGCAGGCAGGCAGCAGGCAGGGGTGGATGTGTGTGTGCATGTGAGAGACTGCTGTGCTGTACAGAGTCAGGGAGGGAGGTGGGGGCTGATGTCGGGATGTCCCTCTCCCCCTTCCTCAGGACTGGTAGCTTCCTTCAGCTCTCTGCACTTAGAGACAGCATGCCGACACACTCACTCTCCCCCTACACATACTCCCGCAACCCTAGGTGGTGGGTATAATAGGCCAGTGGAGGCTAAGTCTCCATTAACCCAGGCCATGGCCCTGCCAATGCTCCACGGGGCTGGGCTGGTGCTCAGACTGGCTGGGCCCGGAGGTTGGGACAGCTGGCGTGGATAGAGTGGGCCAGCTGGCAGCTCGGGGAGGTTCGGCTGAGGCTTCTCCAGCCGTGGGGTGGGGAGTTTTGGGCTCTGGCGGGGAGGGTGGAAGGGACAGAGCATGGGCAGGGCCTTGGGCAGAAGGGGCAGGCCCCGGGGGCTACTTCATGCACCGCCTATGCCTTCAATACACATTTCCAACCCTCTCTCTCTCTCACACTCCCCCAACACACACACTGTCTCTGTCTCTCCCCCCCCCACACACACACACGTTCCCTGTCACACACTTCCCCCTCACCCACTTCAGTTGAAAAGCAGCTGGCAGTCTAGTAAGATGCCCATAGAACAATGGGATTGAAAAACCTGCATCATGTGACACTGTGCCTTCCCCATGAGGCATTGCAAACCCTTCCCAAAACACCTTGCGGCCAATTGTACAGTGGGATAGCTACCCACAGTGCACTGCTCTCTGTGTCAGTGCAAGAGCTGCTAGTGTGGATGCACTCTGCCGACACAAGGAGCATAGTGTGGACATGCAACAGCGGTTTAATTAAAGTGCTTTAATTAAAGCAGCATAACTTTTGGTGACAAAACTCTGCATTGTAGAAATTCTCTCTCTCTCACTCACACTAAAGGTTTTGATGGGAGGCCTGGAGGTTGTTAAGGAGACACAGAAAGCCTATTCTCCCACAATATATCCATCCTTGTTTTATATAGCTAAAAGGTTTGGGTATTTACTGCCACCTGCTAACCAAAGACTAATAACCTGCAAAATCTTCCAGTGAGATAGTCTGTCTCCTTCATATTAACTCTCAAAGTCATAGGCAGCCATCTAGTTAGGGTTGCCAACTTTCTAATCGCACAAAACCGAACACCCTAACCCTGCCCCTTCCCCAAGGCCCCACCCCTTGCTTACTACATTCCCCCTTCCTCGGTGGCTCACTCTCCCTCACTCTTCACTGGGCTGGGGCAGGGGATTGGGGTGCGGAAGTGAGTGAGGGCTTTATCTGGGGGTGCAGGCTCCGGGTTGGGGCCAGAAATGAGGGGTTCAAGGTGTTGGATGGGGCTCTCGGCTGGGGCAGGGAGTCGGAGTGTAGGAGGGGGTGAGAGCTCTGGCTGGGGGTGCAGACTCTGGGGTGGGGCTGGGGATGTGGGGTTTTACGGTGCAGGAGGGGGCTGCAGGTTGAGGCAGGGGGTTGGGGTGTGGAAGAGGGTACAGGCTCTGGCCTGGGGGTGGGGCCAAGGGATTCGGAGTGTGGGAGGGGGCTGCGGGTTGAGGCAGGGGGTTGGGGTGCAGGAGGGGGTACGGGCTCTGAGTTGGGGTGTGGGCTGTAGGGTAAGGCCAGGGATGAGGTGTTTGGGGTGCAGGATGGGGCTCTGTGCTATAGCAGGGGGTCAGGGTGCAAAGGGGGGTGAGGGCTCTGGGCTGGGGCAGAGGTTTGGGGTGCAGGAGGGGGATCTGGGTTTGGGGGGGTCTCTGGGCTGGGGCAGAGGTTTGGGTTGCAGGAGGGGGATCTGGGTTTGGGGAGGTCTCTGGGCTGGGGCAGAGGTTTGGGGCGCAGGGCCCTGTGGATCACAGCTGTCTACAGTGTTTCCTGTAACAGCTGTGTGACAGCTACAACTTCCTGGGCTACTTCCCCATGGCCTCCTCCCAACACCTTCTTTATCCTCACCACAGGACCTTTCTCCTGATGCCAGATAGCATTTGTACTCCTCAGTCCACCAGCAGCACGCCCTCTCACTTCCCACTCCTTGCACGCCCCTCACTGACTGAAGTGAGGTCCTTTTTAAACCAGGTGCCCTGATTAGCCTGCCTGTCTTAATCGATTCTACCAGTTTCTTAAATGGCTCCAGGTGTCCTAATTAGGCTGCTTGCCGTAATTGGTTCCAGCAAGTTCCTGATTGTTCTGGAACCACTCCTGTTACATTACCAAGAAAAAGGGACCTGCTTAATCTGGGGCTAATATATCTGCCTCTATCACTCTCCTATAGCCGTCTGGCCTGACCCTGTGACAATATATGTAAAATAATAATTAAATTTAACTACACCTCTACCCCGATATAACGTGACCCGATATAACATGGGTTCACATATAGTGCGGTAACCCTGGGGCTCCGGCAGCGAGGCTCGGGCGGCGCTTTAAAGGGCCTGGGGCTCCGGCTGCTGCAAGGAGCCCCGGGCCCTGTAAATCACCGCTGGACCCCTGCCACTGCTACCCCGGAGCTGCGGCAGCGAGGCTCGTCCGGCAATTTAAAGGGCTCGGGCTCCCCGCAGTGGCCAGAGCCCGGAGCTCTTTAAATCACCGCTGGAGCCCTGCCGCCGCTACCCCGGGGCTCCGGCAGTGGGGCTCCAGTGGCGCTCTAAAGGGCTCGGAGCTCTGGCCGCTGTGGGGAGCCCCAGGCCCTTTAAATCACCGCTGGAGCCATGCCGTCACTACCCCAGGTTTCCGGCAGCAGGGCTCGGGTGGCGATTTAAAGGGCCCAGGCTCCCCGCAGCCGGAGTCCCGGGCTCTTTAAATCACTGCTGGAGCCCTGCCGCCGCTACCCCGATATAACAGGGTTTCACCTATAACGCGGTAGGGATTTTGGGCTCCCGAGGACCACGTTATATCGGGGTAGAGGTGTATTAGCTAAAATTGTTTTAACTATTAGTTATAACTGTTAGCTAGTTTAACATTAAACTTCCGCCGTAATAATGTGTATAGTATATCATATGTATGAGAGATAATCTAGAAATGTATTTAAGCTTCACTTTTTGCACAGTTGTCTCATTCCAAAATATCTATTTAATTGTCCTTTCTCCATAAATAAGTTAGCCTAAAGAGTTATAATGTCAGTTCTTTAGAAAACTACTACACATGTTAACTGCTTTTCTGCATGCTGTGTGTTTCAGATGGAATTGTCATGTTAACTTCAGTCCTTGGTGTTGAAATATACATTGATACTCTCTTTACTCTTTGACATGTTTTCTTATTTATGTCTCCTCTTTACTTAAGAAATATTAAACCGTTCCTAAAAGGAGTTGAGATATTGGCTCAAGGCAATAATTAATGTATGTTATTTGTGAGTGTTCAGCCTCTGTCATGAATTCCCCAAATATTTGCAAATTGTGAATGTTTCATGAATTTAGGCGAGTTTATTCAGCCATTAATTCTTACTGCAATGTAGTCATTTGCTATTCTATTTTAAAAGTTAGTTATCTAGTCGGGAAGCAGAAGTAATGCCATGTCATTTTGGCAGATCTCTTCACAGCATGAACGATGATAACCAAATAGTCAAAGCAAACCGTTAATGACAACTCATAGTTTGAAAAATATTTGTAGAAGCTATTCATCACATATATACAAATAGCAGACACACTTGAAAAAATCAGGACTGGTTTATGAACAATTCATTTACCAAAAAAGGATTATTAGTCAAACAAATACATCAATCAACTCTAGCATGTACACTAACTTCTCTGACCTTAATTGTGAATGCTCTGCTGTTTGTATTCACAGCTGGCACTAGTTTTGGTGTGGATGTTGAACACCAATAAGGGCTGTTTGTTTGTTTTTTCCTGTTTGAGGAATAAATTTATATACCCTTAAGAGAGAATTTTCCTATTCCCAGAGTGGAAACTTACTTTCCACCTGTACCTTCTCCTTCCCCACATCAGTTGGCTCTGCTTGGTTTATGATGGCTTGATATAGCTCCCTCCTTCCCTTCTGCCATAGTGGTTACTGCGGAGCAAAGTTAGGGTTGAATGTGCAGCCTTCAAAGCCCTGCAAAGCTCAGGAATCAAACCTGTCCCTCTAACATGTCAATCCAGGCACTAACAACTGGGCCAAACTTATGCAGAATAATATTTAGTGTGTTACAATTTTGGTGTAAGCCTGTTTCTGTAGTCACTCTGTAAGTGGAACTCCCACCGATGAGAATGGGAGTCCTGTACTTCGAGTGGATACAGGATCAGGCCCTATGTTTGTGTGTTGTCATTCTTGCACAGAAATATTAAAACAGCAGAACTTGCATGCTATAGAAAGCCATTTGTGCATATGTTTTTCTATGCAGAACATCCAGCACCATAAATACAGTGATTTGGAGTCATTCATATGCCTGGAACCCCACAGTTGTGTTTCAAAATAGAATTGTATGTTGCCTGTTCTCTGCTCCATTTTTCACTTTAATATTTTATTTTCTGCCCATGCAGCTCTTTATTCAAATTCTCTGATGAATGGAATTCAAGCCCAGAAATGTTCTGACTTTGAGTTAAAGTTTTGAATCCACAACATTAGAATGAATTACGAAATATACCGTAACAATCTTTGACTACATCTAAAGAGTTAATAAGGCAGCTGCAAGTGGATTATGTTGTCCCTAACTCTCCAATTACCAGGAGCTGGGACTGGACAACAAGTGATGGATCACTCAAAATTGCCCAGTTCTGTTCATTCCCTCTGAAGTATCTGGCACTGGCCACAGTATATTGGGCTAGATGGACCATTGGTCTGGTTCTCATGTAATATTAATATTTTAAATTGAAAATCTCTGCAGCAGACATGGTTGTAATTAGGAAATTGCCCAACCACCGTAAGCAGTTTCTTTGCCACTCCAACAACTAACCCAAAAGCTAAATCCTGAATATTGCACTTCCAATTCCTGTATCTCAGAGGCAGTGAGCCAGCAAGACTTAGTGGAACCCACATGGTTTTTCTTCATTAATGAAGTCAGCATTTCCTCATTCTCCACACACTGGGAAATGGGTTACTTGCATCCTCCCTGACAAGTCAAGTGTCTGACAACTTTGACTTGGCTCTACTTTTAACTGTGATCACTTTTAGGTTTGACACCTTCAGACACTCCATCAGGTCAGCAAGGTAACCATAGAGGGAAATTCACCCCAGTGCAGAGGTCAGCCAGTACAAGGATGTGTAGAATTTAAGTCTAACTTAAGCCCTGTTTTTGTACCTTAAGTGGAATTATAGATCTTGTGTGGACTCTCTGCACAGGAGTGAATTTCATTCAGGTTATATACTGTTCTATAGCCATGTATCTGTATACTTCTATCACCAGGAGATGGTGGGAACTGTAAATAGTAAATATATATATATATACAGCAGAATATATAATATTCTGCTGTATATATATATATATATATATATATATATATATATATATATATATATACAGCAGAATATTAGTGTTAGTGCTTATTCATTAAGTGCTCAACCCTGGGAGGTGTAAGCACTCTTGCCATTAATGTCAAAGGGGTTGAAGGTTCTCAGTGCTTACAGGAATATCCAACACCTTGTAAGATCAAGGTATTATCTGTTTAAAGGATTAGCTAAAATCACTTCTGGTAACTAGTTCTGGATTAGTCTGGAAATTGAGGCTGGAGTTTTAGTGATTTTCATATGTTGTGCTACCAAACCTCTTACACATTTTCTTTTCTATGTCCTTTGTTAATGAAGAGAGGATGGCTCAGTTTGTATCCCAACTGAAGCTGCCAGCTGCAATGTTAGCTTCCCACGGTCATGGGAAACCAGGTCCACCAGGAAAAGATGGATTACCAGGGCCACCAGGAGAACCTGGACCTCAAGGTAGGGTTTCTAATAAAATGTTCACAGGTATTGTGCTTTTAGTCTTCATATACTTGCTAATGATAGTTAAATTAGAACTACGTATCTAGCTTCCTAATGATTAACTTTTAAAACCATACTACTGCATTTCCAGAGTAAATCTATAAATTAACCCATAGCAAATGTGTGGTATTTCCTTATTAAAAACGCCTAATCAATGCATTTTATTCTAATAAATGATAAAGTTTAGATACTGACAGATAGCTTATCTAAACCTGCTATAGAAGTGATTTGGTCCAAAACACATTCACATGGAAAAAAACTATACCAATGCTCAATTGTAGATCTTAACATATCTGATACACATTTCTAGCAACCAGGTTATCTCCTGAGAAGCAAAGATTTGAGCTCTAAGTCTGAGTTCTTGCAGCTCTGATCCAGAGACAACACTGATGAGAAAAGATTGAGGGAAAGAATATTCCCCATATAATGTATCTCTCTTACAGTGAAGTCATTTATTTTCACAAAACAGTTTCACAGTAACTGGATTTTCACTATATTCAAAACTGCAAATTGCACAGTGCAGTGCACTGAAACAATCTGGGACTTTGATTCTACTGTACCGTCCTTCACCATAGATGTAGTTTCACAGAAACTGAGTTCATTATAATTGGATTCTCCTGTACTTCATCACAAACCACACTAGCATGGGAAATTAATAGGAAAAGAATGGCAGAAGAATTTATAAAATATATAAAAATGATTTGGGGATAGTATATAATTTACAGTATATGTATAGGTAGTTCTTTATTATTATCTTTTGTTAGTTTGGTCTGCTCTGGATTCAGAGCAAGTCAGACTGGAATGAAGAACATGAAAGCAAATCTGAAGATGTGTGGAGTGGAGAGCTAAAAGAAGAGTAAAGACTATTAACACTGATAAGAGCAAACCCTTGATTGAAGCTTGAAAAATGTGATGAGCTCAGAATAAGAAGAACAAACAAGAATAAAGGCTCCAGGAAGGCAATAAAAGGGATTAGAGTTTTGCAACAGTGACTTGTTAATTATCTAAGTATTCAGATCACTGTAAATGGTCAACTTTAATGCCACTGTTAGATTGTTCAATGAGATTGTACATGGTGGATACTCTCAGAAGTAGCAAACTGTAATATGAATTACTTCACGTTAGTGAGTTTCAAGAAGTGAAGATGGTAGCTATACTTATAGAAAAATTAAGCTTATTTTTGGTGCTTTATTCTTAAGTAAAAGTAGTGCCCCATTGACACAGGATTCCCACATACTTTACCCTTCATTTCAGTACACTGTTTATAAAATAACAAGACTTGAGCTAAATGAGAGGCATTCCCACCTCTGATGCATAAAAAATAGACGTGTTGATATAAAATTGCACTTTAAAGGAAAGAAAAAGCAAAAGTTTGACCTACCTACCCCTACATCAGTAGTGAGAAACCAAAGAGGACACACAAGCATTAGATGCCCTTCCCTGCTATGCCTGTTCATTTCATTCTTGAGTGCAGGCAACAAAATTTAAAATACTGAACAATCGGAGACAATTAAAAATGTAGTAGACAGACTCTTCAGGGAAGCATGTAACATACATGTATGTCTAGTCTCAGCAAGATAGCATGTTATGTGCATGTGTGTCTAGGTTCAGCAGGGTATGTTCATGTGCACACCTGGTATACCAGAGAGATAATGTGCACTGGATTGGTTATTTTAAACTGTAGTTCTGCCATTGTTTTTTGAGAAGAGTAAAGGTTGCCAGTGCATAAGTGCTTCAGTGCTCAAATTAAAAAAAAAAAAAAACATTCATACTTAAGAGATCACTAGAACATTGGGAGCAGATTCATAAAATTTTAATGAAGCCCAGAATTGTTCCCTGCAAGCCTTGACAATGTTCCTACAATGCAAGGAAAAACTGATGTTAACCTCATTGGTAGGTGCATCAGACAAAATGTATCAGATACAAATAATCATGATGTTACATTAGGATTGGAGTGAAGTGGTATAATTCAACAAAAAGTTGCAGCACAGATGCTGCAATACAGGACTAGCAGTGAAGCTGTTAGGCTTTATGTAATAGTGAGTGAGACTTTTTTACATTTCTTTTTCATGTTTTAAAAGTAAGTATACAGTACGAATATTGTAACATACCATACCATAAGGCAGTGTTACCAGTGAAATGTAAAACGCCAGCTTAATGAGAGCCGTTGGTACCCCGTGGACTTTACTATACTATAAGCGGAGTCTTAAAGGAAACAAATATCATACACAAATATATGCAGTTGATTTACAAGTTATTTGCAGCAGTAGCATTCATGTGAGTCTATATTGTGTTCAAAGTTATAGTAACGGACTTAATCAACTCTATTGATTTAAGTGAGTTTGCACAGGTGTAACGGAGAGCAAGAAGGGAAGGGCAGAGATCTTTCTGTATGAAGCAGTTTGTTTTTCATAAAACATATTACACCAGAGTGTAAGCAGTAAACATGATCCTTGCAGCCACAGATTTGGCTGAACTGGCCCTACACACAAAATATCCAGGGGAGCTCAGACAGGAGAATTTTGTTCTTACAACTGTTTATGGTATGGTCTCTTGTATTTAAGAGTTCTTAAATATCTAGATTATTTACACAGTAAAATGCATCAGATATTTTGGCATTGTTGTCCTTTCCCTTCTCATGTATGCTAAAGAGCCTCATATTTCTCTAGACACGACTCTTGTAGCTCCCATGAGTATCAGTGTGGGGAGAAGAGACTCAGGACTGCATACAAAAAATCTTGTTGAAGCTTTTCTGAATTAAATAACTCAGTGACTTTTCTCTTCCAAAATGCTCAGGCATGTAATTGTGCTCTCCTGAATATATACTATTGGATTAGAGTAGTGATGCTGCTGACAGACTATTAATGATGATGATATTGGCAGTTAGCACTATATTGAAACTGTATGTAAAATTCCAGTCAAATCAGTCTATGAGAAGAAAACAGCACTCTACCATTTTAGTATATATTTTCTGCACACTACTCAGTGTTTACCAAAACTATCCACATATTATCCTGATGGACCTAAATCTTCTGGGTATTTGTTGTTTTAAGAATTACAACAAAATAAAACTTCCAGAACACAATTAAAAGGCTTTAGGGAAACTGTTGCCTTTGTGAGCCTTTTGAATTAAATTAAAACCTGTTACTGAAATTGTAACTCTGCCAACAGAAAATACACAGCATCGTATCTGTGCCTGGGTTTTTTGTAATGAACCTAAAACCTTGCTTAGGTGGATAGTTATATTCCTCTGTGCCTCATATGAGTTTGTTAAAAATTTGCTCAGGTAGATTGTAATATTATCCTCCAGAAGTGTAATCATGGGACCTACTTCTGCGTAAAATATACCTCATATAAAATCGACTGTTTTATTGCAAGAGTTAAATACTGGATTGTTTCAGAAAGGTGCTCCAATAATATACTTACATGTTTTTCTTATTGTTCACACACTGTAAAATAAAGCATTATTTTTAGAAAAGTTACCTGAGAAATGTTTTATTAAATGTTGGTATCATTGAAACTTACTATGCCAATATGTACAAAATACTCATTTGTATATGTACTCAAACACAGTTAGCCATTGTTTATACTATTTTCACTCATACAATGTGCCTAGGTGGACTGCTGTATATATTATTGGTTTTGAGATTTTTTTTATTATTGACTTGAAATTCAGTAATGTTTACAGAATTTGTCAATCTGCCTCAGTCCCTTTCTGACCACGTTATTATGTACACATGATACGTTATAGAGATTGTAAACACGATGTATTTAAAATGTGATTTCTTTGTGCCCCATGCATATAGAAATACAAAACATAAATGATTAATGGTAGCACTGTTTTGTTAAAGTGTAATTAGCTGGGTTTGTTCTGATAAACTGTACTCTAACTACTAATTGTAAAAATAAGACGCATAGAGGTATAATAAATAGGCAATGTAATCAGCTTCTTAATTATGTGATTGACCTTCACAAACAGTAGCAACTGCAATGAATTGCACAAAACTTCCATAGCCAGCTAACTTATATAGTCACAAATACTGTTAATCATGGCAATTTAAAAACAAATTCAAGATCCATTACTGAATATAAGCTCCTTCACCTTTCCTATTGGGGGCTTCACAGTTGTGTGTGGATGTCTTAGACAGTTCTGTTTAATGGGGCTTGGCTACCAGAATGCACAGCTGATGTAAAGAGAGCTTTTTTTCTCTCTGAATTATTCAATTGCTTGTTTTCTTTTTAGATACCTGCCTGTTTTGTGTATGTCACATTGCATGCATATTCTACTGTTTGGGATTTTATGTACTCCAATTATCATTTCAGTGTTGAAGGGGAATGTTGGGATGTTGAGAGAGGAGACTAAATTACCAATTGCTGCTTTATTCTGAGACAAAGGATGATGGCAATTGATAATAGGTTTTCTGTTGAAATTTAAGATGATCTTGTGTTTAATAGAAAAATTGTATGAATCTGCGTACCATTCTATTGTATAGTTTCATTTGGTGCCCACAATAGTTATATGTCCTCCCATTTTCTTCTTGAGTTGTCACATGAAGTAGTGTTGCCATGTAGTACTGCTAACCGGCTACTTCAGCCATACAGCTGCCAGTCCCTTTATTCTTCAGATAACAATTGACTCAGTGCTCATTGGTCACCTCACAACCCTTCTCTTCTAATTTTCCTCTCATCGGGGGACAGCTGCTCCACAAAGGAGCAGCTTACTTGACATAGTAAGACACTGGAAATATATTGATACCTTATCCACAGCAAATTTAATCTTCTCTGTTGCAATTCTATATTTAACCAGGGATAGAGCATTAATTCTCAGTGTATGTCACCACCCCACCCACTTTTACTCTTGCCTGGACGAGGAGGAATGGGCCTCCCAAAACTCCTTATAAAAGTTAAGTGTTGGTATCAGATTTGTTATTCCTCTTAAATTATATTTATTTCCCATGAGTCATTTTGCTTTAATGTAAAAGTCACAGGCCTATTTTTTGACTATGAGGGAAATTGTAAGGAATATTATTATTTCAGTGACCCTTGTACTGCTATTCTAAGGACATCCAGAGTTTTCCCAGCTGAGACAACTTGACAACTTGCCAAGAAACAGGAGGGCTGAACCTAATTCTCATGCAGCTGAGGGCTGAATTTGTTTGCATACAATTGAACAAACGTAGCCACTCATCTTCAGTACAGAGTAGTGGCCTGTGCAGAGCGCAAATCCAAATGTGCCATGCATAGTTATTGAGCATGTGAGCACTAGTCCGTTGCATGCTGGAACCTATAATCTTCACAGGCTCTAACAACACTGTATTAAAAGTGAAGACAGCTGTAGATGTACGCTATAACTAAAGGGCTCCTCCCCCGCCCCCCATTTATATAGTGGCATAGCTGTGCATAGTACTTTACAAACCCTCAGAAGGATGTAGGCCCCGCCCAAAAATCTTACAGTCTAAAATACATGCATAATACAAATGATAAAAAATTAGATGCAGTAGTTCCTGGGAGATGTTGAGCTACCGGTGGTCAGAAAGTTGACTACCTTGGTATATAAGCTATCCTCTGGCATTCTATTCTATTCACTACAATGAGCACATTGTAGCGAATTAGGTTAGTTAAACAGACTGTCAAGTCCCATAATCTTTCTTTAGATACATCATAGGCAGGTTTTTTACTTTTTCTACTACATCTAAGTTTTTGTTTGGTACCATATATCATTTCACCCTGTGGTTAATATTGAAGCAGGATATACGTTCAGTTTTTTTATCCTGGAGTCTTTACCAAAGTAGCAGAAAATCTTTGGAAAGGGTGAGGCCAATTGATCCATTGATACTCTTCTGTCTCAGGATCCATCAGTTACTGGTAGAAATCTTCTCATGTGTAATAAAAGGAAGGTAAATAGTACAATAGCTGGATTACCAGCCTCAGAAAAAATGGGCATCAGTTTTCACATGTTTGTTTTGGTAGTTTTGTGTCAGTAAGGTGCCTAGAAAAAAGATTGTTATAATTACTGGGCACTCTTATTCTTTTTATCTTTTTATCCTTTGTAGGTTACAGAGGACAGAAGGGGGAAAGAGGTGAGCCTGGTATTGGACTCCCAGGTAATCCTGGTCCACCTGGCCCTTCAGGTAAATGTCTCTAGCTTTATCGTTGTATGCACTCTTTGGACGTGATTCTGATCTCACCCCAGTTTTATACCAGTGTAATTCCATTGATTTTCATAAGGTAACCCCTGATTTTCTTTGGTTTGAGGTCAGAATCAGACCCCATGCCTCTTGCTGTTTAGTTGGTGCGAAGGAGCAGGCTTTTGAGGATACCAAGAGGCTCATCATATGCACAGTGATGATGTCAATGCTAATTGCGATCTTTATTTTATCAGCCACTGGTGTGCCAGGCCTCCCAGGCACTCCAGGATCACCAGGTCCCCAGGGGCCTTCAGGGCCGAGCGGAAGGTGCAACCCAGCAGATTGTTACTATCACGTATCTCAGGCTCGACAGCGTGCCAGTGGGAAATAAACATCCCTCCAGAGACACTTTGGTTCATGTTTATACCTTATTTCCCTTTATGAATCAACTTAATCTTCATAATACTTAGTGCATTTTGTCCATATATATACTGTACAATATATAGACATTTTATAGAGCACTTAGATCGAGCCTTTTACTACATTAATTGCCGTGTTGGAGTTTTGATATGATTTTGTGAGTTCATTCCATGTGTTATACTTTTACTGTTTCTCTGGTTTAGAGATGCAACAGGCCCAAATAGTTCTTATGAGCTTTTCTCTTCAAACAAAATTTATTTTCTTACAACTTGATGATCTTAAGACAGTACAGATTTTTCAGTCTTGTTAATACTGGTTTTATTCATCTTATTACAGAGTGAATTACAGTTGTAGAGTTTTTAAATTCACATGTTCACACTGAAGTTTATTTTCTTAGGTAGGGTGCTGGGGAACTCTGTTCATACGAAATGTTACTGTTCACTTCAGAAAGTCATGGCATAGGTTTCCACACCCAGCTGACCTATGCTTACAAAGCACACCCAGGACATTCAAGCTCGCTTGAATTGCTTCTGTGGAGCCAAAGGGGGAGATGAAGATTTTGTTATGATATCCTCTCTACCCTGGTGCACCATATTGCTGGATTCAGACTGTCTAGAAATTTATCATATCTGGCCAATAAAGGCATTTCCTATCACTGAATGATAATCCAGTTCAGAACTGGCTCATTCACTTAACTTCAGGTGCATAAATCCAAGATAGCCAGTTGTTGGGGGTTTGGCTTTATTTTTAGCTTGGAACTAAATTAATGATGGCACATCCTCCAACAAATAGTTATAACCATATAATATGTGGTCTCCGAGTTGTCTACACCCAAATTAATCTGGTAAGCAGGCATTATCCCTGCTTGCAATGTAAAGACCTTTTACTTTAGAGTGTAAGTACTAGACAATGATAGGGTCAATGAGGCAACCTTTAAAACTCAGCAAGTGGTACCCGGGCAACATGTATTTCCTTGATGACCTCATTACACTAACAGTACGTGCCAAAAAAGGATATCTGTACAGGGACAGATTAGAATGCAAAAAGACTAGTTGGATGGCACAAGACGGCTTGGAAACATGTGAAAATCACTTTGGAATGGCATCATGGAGCATAACTGGATACCGTTTACAAACACTTTGTGTGACTCTTACCATGGCAGACGCTATCACTAGAAAACAAAATAGAATGAAGTGAAATGAATCCTACAGACATTTAAGAAGTGGATCATTTAGCAAACGGTCAACAACAATGAATAAAATGTTCAGTCTTGCAGGGCTAATGAAAAGAGGCTATTTTTCTCCCCAAGATCCCCTCTGGATTATCTGAAACAGATGAAGCCAGATCATCTGAGTATTAGCCTCATTCATTCCCTGGGATAGATGTAGGGTTACATGACAAGTTTTATAGTTTCATAGAGTTTAAGACCAGAAGGGACCTTCAGCTCACTAATCTCACTTGAAACTATCGTGCTAGAAACTGCAAATGCTGTTAGCAGAGCACAGGTAGTTGTAATCAAGGACCACAGAGTAAATCGGTGGGGATGGTGGAAAACAAAGCTCTATCCTATCAGCGGGTTGTTAGTGGTTCTCTTGGATTGTGCTCAGCTAAGTGGTTATATACAGTATGAGCTAGGGGAGACAGAATTTCTTTATCCACAGCTATCAGGGGATCGTTGCCAAATCTTGGACTCTCGGACTTCAAAAGAGACATCCAGAAGAATTTTTCTTTTTACTTTAGAATGCAAATGGGTATTAGAGAAGCTGAAGTGTGGATGCCTTCAGAGAACCTACAGTGAAAATGAAATTTGGTTTGAATAGAGTTCCTAGCAAGTACATCTAGATTGAGACAGATTTTAAAATGGGTTGCTTTGTTCAGATGCACCCATGACTGTATGGTTCAAATTCTCTTCTGGCATAATTCCGTTGAAGTCAGTGAATTTATACCAGCAGAAAAATTGGCCATATATATTTTCAATTTAGTTACATGAACTGCTGGTCAGGTATATTGCATGGGGTTTTTTTTAAGTTGGTTTATTTGTACTTCTCTAGTGATTCCAAATCTTATTTAAAATATTTAAAATATTTTTTTAACTTTATAAATTAATTTTAAACTTCACTTCCTTCCTGTGATAATACCAAAAAAGGGTGCTGTCTTTTAAGAAAGCTACATGATTAGAATCTTTATGAGCTTGTTCCCTTTCTAGAATGCTATACAGAACAGTGTATATAGATATATTACTTGGTGTTATCTGTATATTTTGGGCATTTTCCTGGCTGAACTACAACTCTGAAAGCTTGTAACTTACCTAGCCTGATTTTATAAATGTTAATTTACTTGAATTTTAAAAAGATTATTTTTTCATACACATTTCCAACAGGTGCTTTTTCCCCCCCTCATTTTTGACTCATTATTAGAGTTTTTAAAATCTGTATTTGAACATTTTGAAGTTCTCCATCAGTAACTGTGTTGGTAATGATTAATTTATTTCACACTGTCTTTTTGGTTAATGATTTTTCATTTTGATATAGACCCAATTTAATTTCTCATGAGAAAAAGAGTGTTTTGTAATATCAGGTACCTGTATACCATTTCCAAGATGCTGAGCCACATTCTGTGTTTGGATAGAATGGCATCATTCTGGATTAACTCTACTTTTATACTGAGTTATTTCCGTTTTGCATGATTAGAACTGAAAGCAGAATGTGGCCTGAAACATGCTTCTCATTTGGCAGGCTTTATCTTTAAAAATTTTTTGCAGTTTCAGATTAATGTTTCCTTGATTTATACCTGTTTTGAGGATTTTACTTTACTTCTTCAATTTCATTTATATGTTTGTTAACAAACGTGTGCTATAGTAAATGTTGCCTAATACAAGAGGATTATCTTTCTGAGAGCACAAGATATTTTTCTGAACTAGGATTTTTTTAGCTAGAACAATATTTAGAATTGAAATATGATGAGATATAATATTAATAAGATCCTTCAAATTGTTCTAGATTAGTTTTGAAATATTTGGAATATACCAGGACCAGTTTCCTGTATTTCTTATCACTTAAAATCCTACTGTCCAATATTTATGAAGATAACTTTGGAATTTTCTTAAAGTGGCTGGTATATTTGGAACTGTTTAGATTTGCTTCAGGAAAGTAATAAAGCTGCTGTGGCTTAGTTAATATCAAAACCTTTCAGAGTTATTCAGAGCCTATGCTATATACCTCCTTTTGTCCACATGGTGGTACTCAGGACACTTTTGTTAGTGCAAAGGATTGAACAGAGACTGAACTCTAAAAATGGAAGGCAGGAAACAGTGCAGTGTAGATATATTACATCTTGTGCCGTCTTTCCACTTTTATCCTTGAGCCTAATATATTTTTTCTAAAATTTACAGTTTGTTTTTAGACAGCAGTGTTTGCAGAAATACTGCCTTTATTGGATGAATATTTCCAGGTTATATGACATAGGTTTTATTTATGTTTTATATATGCATATAATGCAGGAGATTGTACAGTAAGAAAACATGTCACTTCTATACATCAGTTTATCTCCACCATAAGGGTATGCATCTTTAAGGGAGCGGTAAGTTTATTGGAGTATTGAGTAAATCGTAGAGTAGGGTGCTTTTTAAAATCAAGTAGCATTGCAATCTACTTGTGATCTTTTACATTAATGTTTTTAATACATGGATATTTTGTATAAATAAACTGTATTTAATTTCAGTGGTAAAATAAGCACATAGGTTTCTGTAGTATAGTATTAGGATTGGTTTCCCTTGTTATCAATCCTCCCTTTGTGTTTTCTGATCATATGTGTTATTGACAAATATACATGTTTACCTGATAGGTAAGGCTAAGTGTGAAGTAATTTCTTAACTCACTGATAACCATTTCATAAAATATTTTAGTGCTTCTGATTGTCAGGATGGTGAGCTATTACTTTTCATGTCAGCCTGTGCCCAGCTTTATGGAATACATGATCTGTTTCTTTTCTTTGGCCTTTTTATAGTATTTTATGTGTTGTCTGTAGTGTTACATAACAGTTGTATGAAGAAACATGATCTAGATGGTTTATATTATATACACATCTGTTTTTCAAACATACTGCAATGTCATCTAAGGTCTTTGAATTTTATCTATTTACTAAAATGACTGCTGTGATATAAAATTGTTTTTGTTCAAATATTAGGAGTGTCTCAGAAATCAAAATTAAAGTTGACATTAATTTTTACTGAATAATTTTTACTTCATATTCTGTGTATATCAAGAAGCATAAATTTATCTCTGAAATGTGGCCAAAACTAAAATAGATCCAGAAGTACATGATATCTCAATCCAGCTCCATCTACCATGTTTGGTATGGCTCATGAAGGCTTACAAATTTAACTATCTTTGCCTAAAAAATGTGTGGTTCAAATGGAAAATCCAAGCTTTATCGTACCATAAGAGAATGTGTATAACATATGGTATGCTAACAGAAATGTTATGTGTTAATAGACCAAAACGAGCTCATACATGTAAAGAATGTAATCTACAAAGATTTTGAGACTTTTATCTTAGAAAAGTGATGCATTTAATTACATACTGAATTTTTCACTGTAAATATATTTTGTCTCAGTTCATTATTTGAAGAATTTGATGATGCACTGTATTTTATTGTTGTATTTCATTTTCAAATAACATTTAGCTGTCATTGAATTCATCATGGTACATGCATACTGATAAATAGAGCCCTGAAAATCTGCAGATATCCGCGGACTATGTTTGCGGATCATGAATCAGATGCGGATACAAATTTTGTATCCACGCAAGGCTCTAGTGATAAATATTATACTTCTTGGCCCCATTAATTTTTTCTCAACATTTAAAGTTCAATTCAGTGCATACATGTTAAGTGGATTACAAGATATCCTTCACTGCCTTGTACCTTGCATGGTCATTTACATCTGTGTCAGATCCTACCAGATGAGAATGG